GATTCATTTATTACACTTATACATACACATTCCAATTTATCTTACAATCCTGGTATTTCCTAGTGATTAAAGTACTAACCTCAACCAACTACAACCATGACATGCAAATAAGGAGATACGTTATGCAGTTGTCATAATTGCAACATGCTGTGGATTAAAAACAAAAGAATGGTGAGCAATGTAGGAAGTAAAGAGGATTTTATATTGTGAAATGATTTTGATGTTTTATGTTAATGTAAGAAAAATCATTTCTTTTAATTTTTTAATTCTCAGGGAATGTTAATATAATCCCTTGCAAATAATATTAATGTTTCCATTTGTCTTTCAGTGCAGCTATAAATCCTAGCAATTGTGAAGCATAAAAAAAAAGTAAAAGCAAATTTTACACATGTTTATATGTGGCTTTGATTATGTGTTTTGCCCACCATCCTGACTTTTTTATCCTATCCCAGTGCCCCTGATGCTTAGTATGAGATTTGAATATTGGTCTTGGTGGGACAGGTTCAATCCTCTCATCAAACAGCAAAGACCCAAATGAAGATTTTCTCTACTGACTATCTATAATAATTGGGTGATAATCAATTCTAAAATCACTTTACCAATTACTCACCACAGTTTCAGCTGTGGACTTATCAATCTCCAAAGCCTGTGCTTCTGGCTTGGTATCAGAGGCAGCAATATTGATGTCTTCCTCTGCCTGGATTTCCAAAGATGGAGCTGCTTCTTCAGCCTTCAATTGGGAAAAGCAGACAAATAAAGCTCAATGTTTGGGTTCACACAATTTCCTAAATGCTAAATCTGGTTTGATTTCTCTTCAATGCTTCATCCCATCACACATATTTCTTCACGGCTTTAATTAGCGTCTTTTGTAGATCCAATAACAAAATATTTTCTAGATTATTTTCTTAGTTTATCATTTATGGTTGTCTTTTAAATTTTAAAATTTTACAAAGTTTCTTTTGAATATTCTTTTCCAAAATGATTCTTTTGCATGTCATTTATAGTTTCAACATTGTTTTGTCAGATAAAATTTGTTCCATATCTTTGATTCCTTCACTGATATCTTTTAAAAATAGTCTATCCATAAAAGCAGGCATCATTACTGAATTACTGTATCATAGTTACTGATGTCTGGCTCTACTCTTCAAATATTTTCTTTAATATTACTGATGTTATAATGTTGTGTCATTTTGTCATATGTGTCATTAAGTCCCAACATTAACTGACATGACGCACAGGCTTATATATTTTTTCTTCTGCTTAGAATCTTTAGTCTCAAGTTTCTATAATCATCATTTCTCTTTGCTATGACCTAGAATAGAGAAAAATTTACAATAAAGGTAAATATTCAAAATGTGTCTAAACTTTAGTCCATTTATAACTTTTTTACAGCAAAGTTTTATGTAACTTTGTACTAAATTCTTTAAGCTATTAGGCTTAAAATTAATTTTCTTTGTTGAACACATCCTCTATCAATATTTTCCAAACTTATTGTTCTGGAAGTCTCTAATAGATTTAAAATGGCAATTTCCAAAAGCAATTAGAAAGTGAGGTTAATATAAGTTGATACAAAAAGCAACAACTTACCTTACTATCTATAATGTCCTGACTTGGCTGCAATGAAAACAGGGAGGTATCCTGGGAATGTACACATAGAAAGAATACATCTAGAGAATCATTTAAGCATCAGCATTTAAAAACCTTCTAAAAATTATGTACAATATAAAAAACTATTCCCCAATACATACAACTCAAATTTTGTCTTCTCATTTAATTGAATATTTTCCCAGCATTTGATAATTGACATTTTTTTCATAGTTCTTAGTGAGTTAAGCAAGCTTCTAATATGGAATCTGGGGATTGAGATTTGCAAAAACATTCCTTTTAGAAACAAACTGACTTTGTAATCAAATGAGGCATTCTGAATTATTATCATAAAGGTTGGACATTAAAACTTTTCTATTCTATTTTCTTATTAAACAGCAAATTTCATTCAATGTCATTCATTATTACAGCATTCTTACATTAACATTTTTTGAATTGCTTTTTCATTTATAAGGGATCCATGGAGCATGAAGGCAGACCATTGTTGCTTCTCTACTGTTTCTTAATCCAGATGATTTTTTTTGACACTGTTATACAAGTACAAGAAAAGGCATGGCCTTAATGAGCTCCTCACAGGTGCAGTAAGGGAGCTTACTTTAGATCCAAAGTCTGTATACCTCTATACCTAATAAACTACTGACATCTAGATGTGGATTGAATTTGCCATTACATTGTGGATCTGATAACCCACTGCCTTCTGGTGAAGTTGGCCTACAACGCCATCATCTATAGATCCCACTTGCTGGAGTTAGGTAGGCAGTGTTTTGCAGTGTTCTCCTTTCTCCACAGCTGGTTCTGGTCAGTGTTATGGAGGAGAGACCAAACCCTTAGACCCTGTCTCTCACCTGTCCTCTTTAACATTTACATGAAATTATTCAGTGAAGTCACTTGATGGCACAGGATACATATCTCCATTCCTGGTAGGGCAAAGGATTCTACTACAGTGCTGACCAAGTGCCTGGAATCTGTGTGGGTCTGGATAGGGAGAAACTAACATCAACTCAACCCTGACAAGATAGAATGTCTTTTGGATCATCCGTCCCCCCACAGTTTGGTGATATTCATGTTTTACTCGGATGAGGTAGCACTTTCTTGGACTGACCTTGTGTACAATTTGAGGGTCCTCTTGCATTCATGGGTCCTGATCAATAAGTAGTTGGCAGCCATGACTGGAAAAGGCTTTGCATAGATTCAACTTGAGTGCAAATTTTATCCTTTCATGGATTGAGAAGCCTTACTTACTGTTACTCATGTCTTAAGTTATTTCCATCTTTGTATTACTCCAATACTTTTACATTAGGCTGCCCTTGACGACTACCCAGTAGCTGCAACTAGTCCAGAACATGGGCACACATAGTGCTGGGTGCTTCAAGATTTGCCCATGTGTTGCTCAAGCAGCACTGGCTGCCAGTTTCCTTCCAAGTAAAATTAAAGATCCTGGTATCATGTTTACAGCCCTACAGGGCACAGGAATGGACTGATTGCAAAATGGTTTGTCTTTGACAGTATCCACGGGATAAAATACAATAAGCATGTTCCAAATCTGTTCCCTGAAATATTGCTATCTAGAGGACTTCAGAAAGGTGCTTTTCCATGGCTTTCCCCTACTTTATAGTGTACCCTCTTTCCAGTGATACAGCAGGCCTCAACTCTTTTAGTCTTCTGGGAGGTCATCAAGACCTGACCTTTTACTCTGGGATAGAGTAAGGAGACCTTGGGTGGGTTACTGAAGTGGGGTTTTTTAAATGTAATCTAGGGTTTTATTGTTGTTGTGAGCTCCCAGAGTTGTGTTTTAAGAAGGATGGCTATAAAATATTTTAGATAAATAGATATATAAATAAAATAAAGTTACTCCTTACCTGTGCAAATCCATTAAAAGTGTTGCTTGATGCCTAGGCCAAATTAAAAATTAGAAGACAGATTTTAATATCAAAGTCTTAATTGTGCATGGCCCAAACATATACATCTTTTAAAGTGAAGGGAAAGAATGACAATAAAATTTAAAAAAATAATAAAAAGAAAGCACAGTGATACATTTTGATAACTGGAAGAGATGCCAGCAACATAAACTATCTAAACGCAAAATTCCAAAACAAGATGTGGTACAAAGTAAGATGGCTTATTCAACAGTCAACCTTTTTGTGGTCAACCTAGCATAATTATATGGTTGAATTGTGCCATGAATGCATGACTACATAGCAAAAGAAAGATAAGGACAGCTGTTCATAAAATTCATATTTTATACAAAGGTAAATATCACTTAGGGAATCTCTCTTTTCTAAACTATGCTATATAATAGGGTAGGTACCTCTTCTTTATCAGCCTCAGTTTGTTGGTATAACAATCCATATCTCCGGTTAGCAATTTCATCTTCAGATAAATCTGAGTTGTTGGTCTCATTTTCTTTGGGGCTAGTGAAGTTTTCGGTGCTAGCATTTCCAGAGTTTCCCATTTGCAGCAGAATCAGTGGCCTACTTATCTTGTTTGATCCACAGGTGCTAATGTTTGTCTCTTCCCCAGATGATCCTTGCTGTAAAGCCACTTCCTGATTCTGCTGACTGGTCATTACACATGCAGTTCCCCAGCTATTATTTAATTCTCCTAAATCTTGTATGAAACTTGGCCATAGATTATCCAAGTTTCCTTCGAGAGATTCTTGTGTGGGAGGAAAGTGACAGGAATCATAACTACTTGACTGGCTAAAAAAACCCCAGGCATCAGAATTAAATGTAGGATCCCAGCTGTCATCCCAGGGTTCTGTCTCTAGCACTTTGTGTAAACTAATGTTAGGTTCTTCAGGCAAACAAAACATTCCCCTATCCTCCAATTTACCTTCCATATTCTCTAACCCAGAAATACTGAAATATGCATTAGTTGGATTCTCAAGCCTGTGCTGCAGAGTCATATCCTTGTCAAAGGATATACAGGTAGCTTTACATTCAATATCTTTTTTCTCTTGAGAGATATTGAGGCCACAGTCTTCATGTTTTTTACAAAGCTCTTCTGCCTCTTTTGCTTCAAAATAATACCCAAGTTTTCCTTTGACTTGAATGTTAGCAGTTTCTATAATACTTGCCATATCACTTTCCTGTATGCATTTTATGGCCCCCTTATCCTCACATGTTTCTTCAGGATCCCGACACAGGGAACAAAGCATTTTGCATTTCAAGTCTATTATGTTCTAGAGCTGTAGAGCTGCTCATATTCTTGAAATCTCTTCCAACTGTCTCATTAACCATATCAGCTCTATTAAATTCTACATCAAATTTCTGGGGACAACTATCAGTAATTGTTTCTTGTTGCCCATTTGTACATTCTAAATCTTGTCTAATTTCTATCTCAGTCTTTTTTACAGCTTCATTATCAGGTTGTCCTAATGGCTTAAGACATTCAATTTAATTGAAGGACTCCTTGAGGTTAGGACCTCTGGTGTCTACCTTTTCACGTGGATCTGTATTTGTCCAGAAAGTGTCTTCTAAGCCTGGATTCACCTCTTTTGTCATTTCCACACTAAATGGCTTGCCACCCGAAAAGCTGTCGGTTTTCACTGAAGACGTCTCAGCCAAAGTTTTACTCACTAAAAGTTGGTTATTCTCCACCAGGTCAATGCCATCGTCTTCACTATGACTAATGTCCAGGCAGGGTTTTAGGAAAGTAGTTTCATGTTTATTCGCATAAGCTGTCCATGATGCACCATCCTCATGCTCGCCTACAGCAGGCAAAGTAGGAGTAGCTAGCATATCAGATAATTCTGCTGAATTTTCCTCTGCCTGAAGAAAAGGCATAGGATCACCAGCAGTTCTTTCCTGGCCCTCAATGGCTGCCTCCTTGAGGGAATCTGGATCTAGGCCCACATTGAGTGAACCTAAATCAGTTTGGGGCTTGTTAAGATCTTCTGTTGACCCACTGTCTGGATTTTCCTCCATGATGAGGTTACACAGGGAATGACTTTTTGGAGAATCAGGCTTTAAATAAGTAGGAAAGTAAAGAAAAAAAAACAAGATGAGCATGATAAAGGTTAGGGAGAAAAAAATACAGAACTCAAAATTAACTGACTAAATTAAGGAATTAATACAATTTGTAACACCTGTAAGGAAATCTACATTTGAAGAAAGAAATTACTTACCGGCTGCACCACCTCATTATTGGTCTGTGAGGAAAGAAAATATTAAAAATAAAAGATCAGAGAAAATGGAGACGATATTGCATCATGTTACTGAAAAGAAACATATTAAATAAATTGAAAGATCTAAAGTGCATTTATAAACACCAACTAATAGTCAGAAGACACAATGAAAATGCCTTAATTTTGCAACACATGAACAGGCTTAACCACAGTCCCAAATAGGAAACTGTGAACATCCTAGATCAATCCAAATCCAAATCAGAAATTCCTAGAAGCTTGGCAACTCAAAGAAATCAGCCATCAATAGGCATATAGAAATAAACATTTACACACTATTCAAGAGACAAAAAGCTACAAAGGAAACAAAAAGACCAGAACACCTCTTACCAGCAACCAATCACCCAATAAGAGGATTAACCCTGGATTAACACCAGACAAACAATCAAGCAGTAAAAAAATACCTCAATTAAGAAACTATGAAGTCAGTCAAACAATCAAGCAGAAAACAGACTAAACAAGGAATTACCAAGCAGAAATCAACACTCCTACCATCATTGACAGAGCAATATACAGTATATAAACAGAGCAAACCCTATTCCCTTTTTACACTGAAGATGCTACTTAGCTGGAAAACAAAAGGTCTGCAAGGAAGCAAGGAAGCTCAAACACCAAGAAGGTATTTACAGATTGAGGCGATGGAGCATCCAAGCCAGGGCACAGTCCATGTTAGAGGGAGGGATAATGAGCATCAGCTTTGCTCTGTTCAACCACTAAAATTACTTTAAAATAATTTCTAGATCTGAAGATGGGGTGGTGGGGTGGGGTGATGATTTAACTGAGCAAAATCAAAATGTTTCAAGCTTTTGTTTCATGGTCAGTCTGAAATGCAGATAAAGATTATTTCCACTGGATAGAGTCTACTCAGTGAACTAAAACCAATAAAACCGATTAATCCAAAAACATGATGTGCTTTTGAATTATGTTTGTTTAAAGTTCATTTACAAATTTATGGTACAGAGTATCAGTATCAGTAATTTGTGACTATTAATGTAACCAAAGAGTCTACATAATCTTTTCATCAGTGTAGGATTCTTTAAATTGTTTTCTGTAATTCCCAATAAAGAGAGGAAAACAAGAAATAATTGAGTATTTTTTTCCATATTAGCATAATTTCTGTCAGTATTAAAATTGGTATCTACAAAGAAATTACATTACTTAGAGCTCTTTAACATAAACGCAGTTTATATTCTTAAATTTTGTCACCACATATTAGTGGAATAATTTATAGTTTAAGAGGGTGATGTAAATATTATTTACAGGTATAATCAACACATACTATTTGCCTCCTGAAAAGCATATTTAATTTTTTCTTAAAGCAAGACAATTTCAAAATTTTGGGGCTACTATAAAAATACAGATACAGAAGGTGTCCTCAGAGATTTCTCAAACTAAATTAAAATCTCAGTACAGAAATCAACATTTAACTGTTATTCTCTTACTTATTTCTTTCACTAACTGGCCTCTCAAAATTTAGACAACTTTTTTGTGATTGATATATTTTGCACATTAAAATATAAAACAAAACTTGAAATATAAAACAAAAAAAAAAGAAATAAAAGCCATCCATACCGTCCACAGATCCCAAGGTAGCGTCTGAGAAGGGAAAGAAGGACAAGGTTCAAAACCTCATATGTACATCTTTTTATGTACTGTAAAGCATCATTAGATAACAATGTGATTATACATGTGCATAACCAGGCAACAATTAGTTAAAAAAAAGGAAATGCCTTATCAAACCCTGTACCAGTTAACAGTGGTGTCCCCCAAGGGAGTGTTCTAGGACTCACACTCTTTACACTCTATATAAATGAACTTTGTGATCATCTTATAAGTAACTGAGTCCTCTTCGCTGATGATGTAAAACTATTCAACACCACTGATAATGCTAGTTTCCCTCAAAGCAACCTTAATTATGTGTCTGAATGGTCAAACAGATGGCAACTTCAAATCTCAACCAACATATTGTCCTACATATTGGTAAAAAAAATCAATACACCAAATACAAGCTAGATGGATATGACCTCATTGACGACCCTCACTCTGTCAAAGACCTTGGAGTTCTCATATAGAATGACCTAAGTGCCAGAGCTCACAGCAACAACATCACAAAAAAGGCTTTAACAGTTGTCAATCTGATCTTACGCAGCTTCTCCTCTGGTAACACTGATTTGCAAACTAGGGCATTCAAAACCTTTGCTACTCCAATACTTAAATACAGCTCCACTGTCTGGAATCTGCACTGTATATCAGACATCAATACAATTGAGTGAGTCCAGAAGTATTTAACAAGAAGAATACTACATTCCTCTGTTCGCAACAGAATATCCTACACCACTAAACTTGAGATTCAAGGCTTAGACAACCTTGAACTATGCCGGCTAAGATCGGGCTTTAGCATAGTACATAAAATCATATGTTACAACGTTTTACCAGTTAATGAATATTTCAGCTTTAACCGCAACAACACAAGAGCACACAACAGATATAAACTAAATGTAAACTACTCCAAACTCAATTGCAGGAAGTACGATTTCAGAAACAAAGTGGTCAATGTCTGGAACTCACTACCTGATTCTGTTATCACATGCTCAAACCCCCATTCTTTTACCCTCAAACTAACCTCTATTGACCTCATCCCATTCCTAAGAGATCTGTAAGGGGCATGCATAAGCGCACAACCATGTCTACCGTCCCTGTCCTATTGTCCCCAATTATTAGTTCCTATTTCATGTATTTAAACTTATGTTTATTCTTATTATAATTATATTGTAAGCATTTGACAAAATAAATAAATAAACTGAAATTGGCAAAGGAGTTAGTTATAGATTAGAGAATTGGATCTGGGTGCATCCTAGCCTCTCTCCTACCATATTCTCAAAAAATTATATTAGTTTTATCCAATGAAAAGGAATTCTAATTTTATCTCTTAAAGTGTAATTCTCCAGGAGGTTTGCTGCTAAACCCCCCACTTGTGGTAAACTGGTAGCTCTCAAGAGCATTGTTGATAGCATGACTGAATTATCACATCCCTTATTTTTAATTATTTTTTAAAATTAAGAAAATAAAATAATAGCAAAAACAAAAAGGGAAAAGAATACACAGGCATCCATAAAATGAACTTTACATTACAGATAGTCCTCAACTTATAACAACAACTGAGCTCCAAATTTCTGTTCCTGAACAAGTCAGTTAAGTGAGTTTTGCTTATTTTATGATTTTTTTTGCCAGAGTTAAGCAAATCACCAGAGTTGTTAAATGAATTATGTGGTCATTAAGAAAAACTGCCTTCCCCCAATGATTTTACTTGTTGGAAGCATCTGGGAAGGTTACTACTCAGTGGTGGGATTCAAATTTTTTTTACTACCAGTTCTGTGGGCATGGCTTGGTGGCCATGGTAGGAGAAGGATACTGTAAAATTTCCAGTCAGAGTGGTATTTTCCGGTTCTCCGAACTACTCAAAATGTCTGCTACCAGTTCTCCAGAACTGGTCAGAACCTCCTGAATACCACCTCTGTTACTGTTAGATATTCAATGGGGAAAAGTCAGTGATGTCAGACTTCCCCCATTGGTTCATTTTCTAGGTGGGAAAATAAACAGCCATCAGTGGCTGAAATTGTGGACAGCAGCCTGTAAAAAGAACAGCAGGCACACCTGGTGGCAATCTTTGTTCAGAGCTAAATAAAGAAATCCTTTCCTTCTATCGTTGTCCTGCCTCTTTAATCTAGCTCACATCTAACAGTTACAACTGGTGATCATGTGACCCTGGAACAGTGCAACTGTCAGAAATACATGCCAGTTGCCAAGCAACCCTATATCAATCATGTGACAATGGGGATGCCACAACAGTCATAAGTGTGAAAAGTGGTCGTAAGACAGTTTTATCAGTGCTGATGTAACTTTAAACAGACGCTAAATGAATGATTTTAAGGCGAGAATTGCCTGTATAGCAAACTTTGAAATCTGATGGTAAAAATAGATTTTAAAAAAGTTTAAAAAAAGATAAGAAAAAAAATATTGTAAGAAAAATCATTCTAATCTCCTCCTTTCCTTTCTCCCTTCTTTTCCCCCTTAACTCTAATTGCTACTTTAAAAAAAAAATATTTATTTATTTATTTAGTTAAATGCTTACATTATAAAATAAGAATAAACATAAGTTTAAATATAAGAAATAGGAACTAATAATTGGGGACAATAGGACAGGGATGGTAGGTATGATTGTGCGCTTATGCACGCCCCTTACAGACCTCTTAGGAATGGGGTAAGGTCGATAGAGGTTAGTTTGAGGGTAAAGGAGTGGGGGGTTTGGGCAGGTGAGAACAGAATCAGGTAGTGCGTTCAGGACATTGACTACTCCATTGCTGAAATCATACTTCCTACAATTAAGTTTATATCTGTTGTGGTTAAAGCTGAACTATTCATTAACTGGTAAAACATTGTAACATATGATTTTATGTACTATACTTAAGTCCAATCTTAGCCGGCATAGTTCAAGGTTGTCTAAGCCTAGAATCTCAAGTCTGGTGGTGTAGGGTATTCTGTTGCGAACAGAGGAACGTAGTATTCTTCTTGTAAAATACTTCTGGACTCGCTCAATTGTATTTATGTCAGATATACAGTGCGGATTCCAGACAGTAGAGCTGTATTCAAGTATTGGTCAAACAAAGGTTTTGAATGCCCTAGTTTGCAAATCAGTATTACCAGAGGAGAAGCTGTGTAAAATTAGATTAACAACTCTTAAAGCCTTTTTGGCAATACTGTTGCAGTAAGTTTTGGCACTTAGGTCATTCACTATGAGAACACCAAGGTCCTTGACAGAGTGAGGCTCACCAACAAGATCATATTCGCCTAGCTTGTACTTGGTGTATTTATTTTTTTTACCAATGTGTAGGACAGAGCATTTGTTGGTCGAGATTTAGAGTTGCCAACTATTAGACCATTCAGATACATAATCAAGATTGTTTTGAAGGACGGTAGCATTGTCGGTGGTGTTGAATAGTTTTACATCATCAGCGAAGAGGACGCAGTTGCTTATAAGGTGATCACAAAGGTCATTTATATAGTGTCCCTTGGGGGACACTGCTAATAACTGGTGCAGGGTGTGATAGGGCGTTTCCTATTTTTACTATTTGTTGCCTTTTTGACAGGAAGGCAGTAATCTACTTGTGAAGGGATCCAGAAATGCTGTAAGAATTTAATTTGAATAATAGTTTGTCATGTATCACTGAGTCAAAGGCTTTGCAGAAGTCTATGTCAATTACATCTATTGCCTTGCCCTGGTCAAGTAATATAGTCCATATGTTTTTTCAGTGTAGAAGTTGCAAATTGCAGGACAATTTTTTTCTGAAGCCAAATTGTTTATTGGAGAGTAAGTTGTTTGACTCTAGGTGGAAGGTAATGCATTGATTAATAATTGATTCCATAACTTTGCATGTGACACAACACAATGAGATTGGTCTGTAGTTTTCAACCAGGCAGGGGGTCACCTTTTTTGAAGATAGGAATGACCGTTGCTAAAGACCATAGGCTTGGTAAGGAGCTGGTTCTGAATGATATCTCATATATTATGCTTAGGGATTCTGCTATGGTAGTGGAGAGCTTTTTTAAGAAATATGCACATAAGCCATTAGGGCCAATAGATAAGGATGGTTTTAGGTGATGTAGTGCATTTTCTATGTTATCTTCAGTAAAGTCAATTTGTAGATCATTGCATTGTATGATTAGGAAATGTGGGGCATGAGCCATTACTGTTTACAAAGACTGAACTGAAGAATGTGTTGAAGAGGTTTGCCTTAATGGCTTCATCGCTATAGTCTTTCCCATTTGGTCCTTTTAGGGGTAGGATGGTTTTTGAGTCTTTAAGTTTGGTGTTTAAAAGTTATAGAAGGCACTGGTGGATTTTGTGTGTAGAAGATTTTCCTCTTGCTTGCAGTGGTAATTAATGCATTCTGCCTTTATCTGTCGGCATAAGGTGTTGTATCAGTTTTTAAAGTTAGTTACATATTTAGTTTTGTTTTTATGCCATAAGGATTTTTTTTTAATTGAAATTTTCTTATTATTTTGGGTAAATTGTTTTTTTTTGTTTTGTTTTGGGGGTTACTAATGGAACATATAGTTTAATGACTCTTTCGAGTTCAAGCAAGAAAGCATTATGTTCTTGTTCTGTAGTATTACAGCCAGAGAACAGAATGTACCAATTAAGAGATGAAAAGTTGGCAGCTATGAGTTCATAATTGGCTTTTATAAAATTGTATTTTGGAGATCCATCATTATGATCCTCTTTGAGAGGGTGTAAATTTAGACAAAAGTCAATCATGCTATGGTCACTGTTTGAAAATGGTTCCTGTATTTGTAGGCCATAAATTGAGTTTGAGCTGTTGCAGAAGATGAGGTCAAGGCAGTTGTTTAGCCTGGTGTTGTTATATACTAACTGATCCAGTTCCAGTGTGGTAACGGCATTGTACAGGGTTGTATGAATGAGTTCAGATGTACATTCATTTAGTGTCCAATTTATAAGAGGTAAGTAGAGGTCACAGGAAAAATAAGAGGGTGTGGGCAAGAGGCAGCCCATGTCAGTAGTGAAGCTAGTTGTTTGCATGAATTATGTCACAGTCAGAGGCTCAATAGCATAGTAAGAAGTGGATTGAGGTATTTAAGGACAGTTCACAGACAATGATCTCAGGAAGAGCAAGCTCTTGTATAATTCGAATCTTTTTTAGATTTTTATAGAATATAGTAACTCCACCTCCTCTACAGATTTTGCAATCAGATCGATAAACGTGATATTCTCTTACAGTGGTAATGGAATCTGGGAAAGATGCATTCAACCACGTTTCATAGACAAATATAATGTCGAATACGGCTGTGCTTAGTAAGATGAGGAATTCATGCATTTTATTTGCGAGGCTTCTTGCATTGAGTAGTTTGCATTTAAGATATGAAGTAGTGGGTCTGGAGAAAGTAAGGGGCATGCAGCCCCAACATTGAATGTTTGGGTGATGGTTATTGTGATGTGGGTTGTGGCTCTTGCTTTTGATACAATCTGCACGGTAGTCAATGTATATAAATTAGTATTACCTAATTCATGTAGCTTTTTAAGTTCAGAGCGTAGTTCACGAAATCGTACATGTTGCTGTAAGGTTAGATCAGGATGAAAATGAAGGTTCTTGTGGTAGTTGTTGCTCTTTGCGAGTGAATTTATTGAGAAGATGAATTTGCGTTTGTTTGATTCATTTTTGCAAACAACCCTGCAGAGGCGTGGGGCCATCAAGCTGTCTTTGTTTTTGAGCTCAGGACCGAAAAAAAATACTTCATCATCTGTGATCATTGGTCATTTCTATTTTGGCCATTTAGATTAAAAAAAAACAATTTCTCTTTTTTCTTCAAAAACAATGTTCTAAGTGTCCTTGTTATTTAACTAAATTATTTCTGCTTGGATTTATTAGATTTCTGCTGTGAATGTATAGTCAGTTTTTCTGTTGCCACTCATTCTTCAATTTTAGTTTCTGAATCATATCACAATTTCATTTCTAAGTATATTTCAACAAACATCTTTAACAGTATAAGATAATCATAGTGCATGTAATCAAGAACTTCTATCATAAAACAACCTTTTAAGAAGTAGATTTAACAGCTCTTCCTATTTAGTATCATATCAGGTAAAGTATTCTTTTTCTCGATAATACAATAATACAAAAAAAATTCATTTACTAAAAATCAATGATATTGATGACTTCTTTGTGGTCTGTTTTAACTCTGCCATGGTGCCTTTAAACTTCTCAGATACTTCTTTAATGGCCTCAAGTATAAGGGGAGGTTTTACAATATCAAACCACTTACTATAAGAAACTTCAGCTTATTTATAGTGCCAGCTCAAATTGCATTTTAAGGTTTCTTCTCCCTGTCCCATATATCAAGCCTGAAAGCCTTTGCTAATTGACTTGAGCTTTGCACACCTCATTCTACCTATGGCCTACTTGGTCCTCAAGGTCTTCAGTATATGGTATACAGATGCACAGAAATAGAAAAACAGGTTGTTTTAAAAGGGAAGAGATTTTATTGCACTACATCCATTTTTAATTTGATTGCCTGTTAGGTCTATGCTTGCTTTTTAATTATTTGTAATGTTATTTAATTTGGAAACCAATTTTGTAGTTTTCAACATGCTGTAAGCTATTTTCTGCTTTCATTTTTACCAAAATTTAGAGTATAACCTCTCAAATCAATAAACTAGTAAAATAAAAAATAAAATAAAATAGTTACTAGTCAGGTGGGAAATTGTAATTCAATATAAACTTGTATATGCAGAGGTGACTTTAAAAAAACATATTTTGAAATGGAAATCTATTATTGTTCATGTGTATGAACAGTATATTTTGTTTCAGTTGTCTAGAAACTTTTCTATTACAAAAATTGTATAAGCAAAGATGGTGTTATAGAGAACAAGACTGGTATAGCACCTAAGGAATCAGGCTAGAAACATATAAGTTCTAATTCTGTATTAGACATAAAGTCCTTGGATGACCTTGGGCCAATCACTCTCTCAGCCTTAAGAAGGAAACAATGGCAAACCACTTCTAAAATTTTGTCAAGAAAACTGCAGAAATTTGTGTCAGGTAATCACCAGGAGTGAAAAACTGATTTGAAAGTGTGCATGCATATGCACAAGGCCACACCCACATACACACAACATATATAATATAAGCAGCAAAATTTGCAATCATTTTTTGAAATATCAGTAACAGACATAAGTAGACAATCAGATCTTTGGTCTGATTGACAGAAGTCTAATTTCTTACATAATTTGTGACACAATGTACAGTAATGCATTTTTAAATGGCTAATGTCAGTGGCTCCAGGTCCCAGGAACAAATGTTTAATTTAAATCTATTGTTAAGGACAGGTGTTCTGTTAAAAAGAAATAACATTTGTAGGATTGAATATCATTTATTAGTAAAGTCTGAAATAATAAAATCTAAAAGTGGTGCTTTGGGAAAAACCTGCAGCTTGGATTGATTAAATAGTTAATCTGCTATGTTTCCAAATAAGACATGCAGCCCAGAGCTGGAAATTAGACAGTACTCCCACAGACAATATGATTATAAAGAAAATTAGGGACTGCACAGAAATGGTAAAACTTATGTTAGAATTGCAAGAGAGGGAGGAAGGAATATATTATAGTCTGGAAAAAATGGTATAACTGGTTGGATAGTAGGACAATAGGAATAAAAAATAATATAAATGAAAAAATGTGTGTGTGTGTGTAGTTAGTAGAAACTGGGAAACTCGATGATAGAACACTGCAAAGTTTGTATTTGTGTTGTTTTGTTGTTGTGTTGTTTTTAACTGTGTAAAATTCAATCAAAATTTAATTAAAAAAAAAAGATATGCAACCCTACGTGGCATCAAAGCTACATGTTCATTCTGGCTCTCATCAAGCCTAACTTCACATTATTCAGTACTTTCTGTTACTCACTTCATTTCTAATATATGTTACTAAACACTAAGAAAAATTCTAAATTCTGTAATCAGCATACATTTTGTAAACTGGCCAAAATTGTGCACATTTTTCATTATTGATTTTAGGCTATTTTGTATAATTGTATCTGCTTCTGCAAGACATCACCTAAGCCATTTAGCCATTTCCAATCACTGCAACTTATATTAGCCAGCCATATCAAACATTTATTTTTAATTATTACACTTCTTTATAACATTTAATATAAGAATCAGCAACTTGCTTTTAACAAATTAAAGCTACATTTCTAGGTTTCCACAGGATTGTGGTATAAAACAACCCTCATTATGGGACACATAGTAACACAGACATACAAATACCTGAGACACTGGAGAATGGGTTACCACAGTAGATGCATTATCAGGCTTGAAAGGATCAAAGTCCAAATCTAACAAAGATTCTTCTTTTTTATCATCAGGAGCTTCATTCTGTTAGAATTACAAAATTTTTAAACATAATCTTTAATTGGAATGTAGAAATTATTTTCCTCATAAAATATTCATCAGGGCAAACAATAAGAGATTAGAATTCAGTGGCGTTAGTCCAGAATAAAGGAAGATGTCATGGGATATAATAGAAAATGGGTAAGACAGCAGACTTTTCTGAATTAGCTTTCAATTGTTTTATGCAAACCATTTTGTGAGGAATTAATGAATGATTTCATTAGCCTCAAGCTCAGATTCAGTTAATATTTCATCATGTGTGTATTTTTCTTTAAATAAATACAATCTGTTAGGACTAAGGATCATAGTCATTTACATAGTCAGTACTCATCTTGGACAAATTTTAGTCATGCTCATCCAAGCACAGAGAGTTTGTGGGATTCACTTATCAAATGCCACCAAGTTTTTGTGAACTAGAGGTTTCATCCCTAAACGTATAAAACAGTTTCAAATTAATGGAAATATTTTGTCAGTGACAAGAACAACTTATTCTATATTTCATAGCTTGAATGTGAGTCATTCCTATCATCTCCATTCAAAAAGATGTGCCAAGGTCTTTTGGTTTGGGATGAACAAGTTGTAGTACTATCCATTTGAATACATGATGCTGGAGAAGATTGATATATTCAATCTGGACTCACCTGTGAAGGGGTTGTTACATTTATTTCTGGGACAAAATTATCATCAAATAAACTGATGATATTTTCTTGTTGCATGTCTACCACTGGTGTGAGTTTAGGCAATGGTGGGACAGGAGGTCCTTTCCTCAGCTGAAAGAAAAATAAGTATGTTTGAAAGATTAAATAATATATCAAAAGTATATACCATAGTAATAATTATTTTTTTCAGTGTTTCAGAACTAGAACTGGCAATTTCTATATCATTTAGGTGTAAAACATTACTTTCAAGCTTTCTTCAAGTGACATTGTTTCTTAGTTCATAGAAAGTCACAGCAAGAAAAATGCATATTTTTTTATATTAATCATAGATGGGAACTTTAATATGCAATTTTTACCTTCCTTTTATTTCCCACTCTGGGAAGGGTTATTTTGCAATTATTCAATTACTTATCTAAGGATTGATGTATATTCCCATACATTTTGTTTTATTTACTTGGTTTTTGTTATTCTACCATGTCTAATAGAATCTTTGTTTATATAGGTAGTCCTTAATTTTTGACCACAAAATTTCATTGTCAAGTAAGGCAATTGTTAAGTGTGTTTTGACCAATTTTATGACCTTTTTGTCATAATTGTTAAAAAAATCAGTGCAGTTGTTTAGTAAACCATGCAGTTGTTAGGTGGCTTCTCCCATTGGCTTTGCTTCTCAGAAGTCAGTTGGGAAGGTTACAAATGATGGTCACATGACCTTGGGACAGTACAACTGTCATGAATACATGCTACCAAGCACCCAATCATGTGATCATGGAGATGCTGCAACACTCATAAGTGTGAAAATTGGTCATAAGTCACTTTTTTCAGTGCTGTTGTAACTTCAAATGGTTGCTATACAAATGTTTGTAAGTCAAGGAGTATCTCTAAAGCATAAAAGATAGTATTAAATTACAAAACAAATATTTTAAAATACCAAAATTGTATTCATGTAGTTATCTCTCAATCATTAGAAGCTCTGCTGAGAAGCTCCAATTTCACTATACACCTGAAAATTGGCAGAATTAGTTTGTACTACTAGCTGGGAAATTTCACATCATAAAGTTCCCAAATTTGAAAAACACTGCAGTGCTTTTTCACAGGATGAAATCTGGGTGACAGCACAGGAAAGGGGAATGAAAAAGATCTCTCAGCAATATTCTCAGAGTCTCTTGTTTGTTATAGTACAAAGCTGGTCCATTTACTGTTTGCCAAGGAACATACCAGTGGTGGGATTCAATTTTTTTTTTACTACTGGTTCTGTGGGTGTGGCTTGGTGGGCATGGCAGGGAAAGAATATTGTAAAATCTCAGTAAGAGGTGGCATTTGCCGATTCTCCGAACTACTCAAAATTTCTGCTACCGGTTCTCCTGAACTGGTCAGAATCTGCTGAACACCACCTCTGGAACATATCCTCACAAATGAATTCCATCTTACAGACATTCCACCAATGAGGCAGGCAGAAATTGAGCTTTAGTTAAGGATAATGTTTTCCATTTTATAGCAATAGCACTTAGAGTTATATGCTGCTTTACAGTCCTCTCTACGCAATTTACTGAGTTATCATATTGCCTCCAACAATTTGAGTCCCCATTTTCCCAACCTCAGAAAGATGGAAGGCTGCATCAATCTTGAAACTCAAGATTTGAGTTTGAGCCAGATCAAACTCCTTATGCCATCAATGGACTTCCCATCTGGACAATTCATGGCATATGAAAGAGTTAGCAACCTGTGGAATTCTGGTGTGTTGAAAGACTACCCACTTCTGTCTGGCTGCAGTGAACTATATTTTGAAAGCAGCGCTGGCTTTAGGGAACAGCCAAGCAGGCACTGAACTAAAGACCACACATGATGCCCCTCCTTTTGAATCATTCTAAAAATGAAAATCTTTGTTATAGCAGAAGGAAGTACCACTATTGAGTGTGGGCAGCATATAACCTTGAGTCAACTATTTTGTGTGTAGGGGTATTTTCATCTCTTTTTTGCAGGTGTGATTTGCTCAAGAGGATAGAAATCTCCTGGAAACCAAATGTAAGTCTTTGATGAAGTTAGTATTATAATTAGTAAGGAGAAAGAAGAACCTTACCCAACAGTGTGGAATGGGGATGAGCAGCTTCAGAGTATTTTTCCCCATGAATACCATACCATTAATACTTTATCCATCTTGGAATGGCAAAATCCTTAGCAGGACAATTTTTACACATTTTCTATATAGTTTTTGGATCATGAAATCCTTGAAACTAGTTAAATTTTATTTTAAGTATTTGTTCAGTCGGTTACTCTGTTTAGATAAATACATAATGAGCCTAAGAGAGATATACTGGCTCTCATAATGTTAGAGGTGGTATTTCCTATAGGTAAAAATGGCCTCTTCTGGGCTGGCAAGGAAGAAGAAATAGAAAGACGTAAAAGAAAAATTACTCTGAGAAGAATGGAGAAAAATAATGGCTGGCAAGCAAAGGTGAATGTATATAGGATTGTCTATTAAAATTTGTTCATCCCAGGAGAACCTGTGTCAAGTTTTTGAAATAATCGTGAGTGAAGTGGAGTCCACAAATCCATTGAAAGAAGAGTATTTGCCGTGGAACATTTCTATCTTACATAAATAAGGCATGTGCCAATAAATCAAAAGCTGTTGTGGACTATAGCTGTCTTCTGTACTTAGAATCTGAAAAGCAATTTGGATGTTCTAATCTGTGAAAGGTAGTTTAATTGGTCATCAGCAGACCTAGCCAGAATTTCTTCAACAGCCACTAGCATGTAATGCTAACACAGATCAGTAAACCATCAATGACAAAAGAAATAAAATCACATTCAGCCTATAGGAAAATAAATTATATCCTTTTTATATCAGGAGGATAAAAATAGACACGCTAGGTTTACTGCTTGGATCGATATCAGAGACAACTGAAAGCTTTTAGCTCAAAATTGATTTTACCATAGCAACCTTAAATTGTGATTATGAGTGCCAAAAATATTATCTGCATTATGTTACCTGTGAAGGAGATTTAGGACGTGCAGGTGCTGGAGAACTTGGGGTTGTCAATGTATGATTTGCATCAGCTTCAGGACTAAGTGGTGGGGAAGCCTCTTCTGGTGGTGATGGAGTTTTTGCAATGCGGAGTGGACCAGAATCACTAGGGGAACACAAAATATTAATATATGTAAAATATACTCGTTCTCAAGGAACATCTAGGGACACAAAAGAAAATTTAAAACATTTAAATTATTTATGATATCTATAAAATGCAATACATCCTAGAAACCAATCTTATATTTGCTTAGATTTTGATTTTATAAGCTCCTTGTTTCCTGAATTCTGAAAATCCTTATTATCTATGACAACTGATATAATAACTGTTTAAACAGCTTTCCTACATTATACAAAATGAAGTGAATCTGAGCCCTTAGTATAGTGCTGGCTTAATTTTATGAACATCTACAAAGATATACCTACTTTCTTATTTTTCATGTACTGACATGTGAACAATTAACATTCAGATTACATCTCTTAGCATAATCTTTGATTATATAGCATTGCTAACGTTCACTTCTGAATATCAATGCTCACCAGATTTTACTAGAATATATCACTTCTCTATATCTCTCTATATTACCATTTATATTTCATGTCCTATTTTTAACATACATTTCATTATAAAGGCCCTTGGTTTTTAAGCTATAACAAGAAATATATTTGGAAATGAAAACCATTGAGCTAGTCACTTAATTAGTAAAGTTTTACTGTACTAGAGTTTCAGTGTTAAAAGAGCCAAACATTTAAATATAATTTTGCTGTCTAAACCCCACTTAAGATTTATAATACATAAAAATACTAATATTATATTTTGAAGGTACATGCAGCTATTACACTCTAAAAGCCTCACAAGAAGAAGAAATTTGGTTTTCAACATTTTTGTGAAGCACTAAAGTAATACATGATTGTTCAAATTTCAATCATGTTTTCTATACTAAAGCAAAGCAATATCATTTTTAAAATTCAAAAAACTTTGCTGTTCACTCACCACCTCTTTCTATGGAAAGAGAAGAAATATAAAAGAGCAAGTTTTAATAAAAGAAAGAAGGAAATGTTATTTTTTTCTTATTCAATTTGTCTCTAATTTTCAACAAAGGTACAGCTACAAGAGACTTCATAGGATTTATAAATATTTTGTGTGCAAACATGCCTGGTGCAAAAAAAAAAAGTGCTTTCAGAAAGTGCAATTTATTTTTTGAACTCATTCATCTTCTGACCTTTCAATGATTTACTTAGGTGCTGCTTTAATGTTGTTTACTTGTTAAAAATATTTGAATGGTTAATCAAGATTTATATGACCCATTCTTTACTTAGCCTTCAGATAAAATAGACCTTATGTCCCATAATCAGAACCAGTCTGAACAATCCCCGTAGTCATGCTGGTAGGCATCAAAGTAGATGAAGATCAATCCATTTTGGTTGAGGAGACATGATGCAGCCAATTAAACAGTAACAATACACTGATATTCAACACACCAGTCATGACATAAAACAAATCCATAATGAAGGTATGCTGAATGGCTATGGAAAGATAAGTACAGTCCTGGTATGCCTAATAAAACTAATGAAAACGCTTTTCTCCAGGGGAAACTTACAAGGTATTTCCCATTTTGATCCCCCTTAATTTTTTTTTAAGAATTCTATTGCTGTTTGTGTATATCATTTAATAATAGCATACTTAGACAAAGAAATAGAAAACTGAATGATTAAGGAAACATTTCCCTTTTTAATTTCCTTTGTGTTTTTCGAAGACATTCACCTCTTCTCCCCACCCCTTACAAATTTGGAGAAGGAGGGAGAAGGATTAACTATTTACTAATATTTTTCTTTTTAAATGAATCATAAAATAGTTATGTTTTCAATGAAACTGGTCCAACTTTAGAAATGCTCACAGCATACCAATAAATAAAATAACATGTGAAAAGATAAATGGTTTCAGATTGTTTCAGTATTGGAAAAAGTTCAATGAGGAAATAAAAGCTTGCATCTAGCTGGCACCTACAATAACTACATTTTGCCTTTAGCAGGTGGACACATTCTGTTATTTTTGAACCCTGTCTAATGTAGACCAGTAACAACAAGTTTCTTCTGACTCAGCTTTGATTCCTGGTGATTTCATGAATACATTCATCCAGTTTTCTTTACCAAAGTATCATTTTTCCAGATGATTTCTGGCCTCCCAATCTATAGCAGTCATTGATCAGAGACTAGATATCTCCTGCAATCATATAACCAACCACAGTTCTTACCAAGATTCTTCAGTTCTTAAGACTAATTGAGCAAACTGAGGGAACCATGAAATTACTATCTCAATTAGAAGGCTAAATTGTATGAATTAACCAATGATCACCTCAAGAATTGCAGTTACATGTAAGAGGTTAATTCTTTTTTTATCACGAATGAGCTCTATACCAAAGGAGTTTCTGGTTGCAATCAAATGACCAAAGAAAGGAGAATCCTTCTAGGAGCAGTATCTCTCTGAGAAATCCAAATTATACTACTGGATTAGGGTGGAAGATTGAATCTCATTGCCAAAATAACTTAGACAGAAGAACATCTTAAAGGAAGTTTGCTGAAATTACTTTGATAAGAGCCCTGCCTAGTATTGGTGGAAGGGGTTATTCCCACCAAACTCTAGAAGCTTTTCTGTCCAGGCACAAAACCCACATTTGGAAATTAGAGATCACAATTCTCTCCCTGTAGGCTGCACTCATTTCTCAGCTGAATGCATTCTATCCATTTTGCATTCATTTATATTTGTTACAAAAAGGAATATGAAAATTGCATTTGAATATTGCCTATGCATATTACGATTATTTTTTTTCAGAAAACAATACATTATCTTCAAATACAGCACATATATATAGCTTTATATTTATTTTAGTTCCTTTGAACTGTCAAAATTTGGGGAACTGAGAAATCCAGATAATAACTCCACACTGAACTGCACATGAATTAGAAATTACCAGTGGAGTCAGTTTGCATTGGAACTGGTAAATAATGGGTTCCTTAATCATCTCTCGTAAATATCCATCCTTTTTCCAGTGCAACATATAATTTACTTTTACAAAATTATATTGAATTTCAAACAACTAAAGTGTCCTTTTAATGCACTGATAGAAAAGATGACAACACATATTCAATAAACATTTTTTTACTATCAACTTATTTATTTTACTCTAATAACCAGATCATATTATTTGTACATTTAGCTGCAGTTAGATAAAAGATTTTTACCTGGGTGCCCCAAGGATTGTGAAGGCCTTGTCAGCATGCTGTTCTCCCAATTTAGTTATCACCTCATAAAGTTTGTGGCAGAGCTGAGGAGAAAAATCACCACAACAAAACTGTCATTTTAACAAAGCTACTATGGTAACGGTGGAGGGAAATAACACTGTTAATTTTTGTTTCCAGACAATGGAACTAAGGTTAAACACAATTTCAAATATGGGACATTATCACCGTCACACATATTACACAAATACAAAATTTCACACTTAATACTTATAATATACCAAATAAGAATTTGTTTGCTGGGATGAATCAGTGAAAAAAAATGAAGGAGAAAAGGGGTTTATAAATGCTTGATGTCATTTATAGAAATCAGGATAAAGACAAGATGCTTTTCAGATTTAGCACCTTTGGGTTATGAAGCTCAGGTTATGGTTAGATAGGGTGCTTTAATCAACTCTAAAATCTAACAAAATCTGTTACAATTATATTATCTACAGTAGAAAAGGCTAGGGAAGCAGCTGTCTGAGAGTTCATGAGTGCAGGGAGTGGGCTCCCTCTTACTGTCTAGTTCCTCCACCACAGCTTCAACAAATTTGATTGCATGAAGTAGGGCTATGAACTTCCACATCTCTTTGTTGCTCCATCTCATGGTTGTTAAGATATTTGTATTGCAGACACATTAGCCTAAGCATGAACTTGGAACTATCTTGGAACAGCAACAGCACAGACAAATGGAGGGAATGAGGGTGTGCTGGCACTATTACTTCTCTTTCTTACAGTATTAAATTTATTGTTGCAATAATAACCTGAATATGCACTAGAAGTGGAAGCCTTGGAGGTGTGGATACTTTTCTAGGAAACTGCTACCAGTCTTGCACTCATTTTCCTCTTCCTTTCTTGTGAAGTAATAAAGAAAATTAGCCTAACAAATTTGAGCAACAACTCCAAATGACCAGTGGCAGCAAATTAGATCATGAAATTACCATTGCCATGTAGTGTTCATCCAAATGTGTACAGCCAACATAACCTGTATGCCTAGGCCCTAGAAGATTTCACACATCTAAAATTTGAGGATAGCTTGTGCTGTGCTCATTAATGGATCTGTTCTATTGAGAAGAGAAGACGAAGATTAAATAGTTGGGGGTGACTGAAGAGGAGAGGAGATACTTTTATTGAGTTAATTCTTCTGATGCAGCATAGAAGGAACAACTATATTGCACTCCAGTTACCTTTCTCCTGCCCATCCTGAAGTACCTTAACACAGAGGGACCTTAATTCACGAGCTTTTTCATCATTGGGGAGCCTGTTGGAGAGATATGCTGTTGGGGGTCCAAGCCCCAAAAGCCCTACTTACACCTTTGGGCATATGACAAATTCAACCTTCTGTACAACTGATTTGAAGAAAAATTAAGGCCAACACAACAAATGGAATTTATTGCACTGGAATATATTTAGAAAGATCTTCATTGCATCAGATCTAAATATCCTTTCTTCTCCAGGGTTCAAATATGAAAATACAAAATTTAAATAGCTAGCACAAATCAACTATGATTCCTTATAGAATTGTTTATGTGATATTTATAAAGCTGCTTTTACAGCTATTAATAGTTTGCAATAAATGTGGCAACTGCAGCTGAGAATGACTCCAATTTAATATTTAATGCAATTAACATTCAATCTACTAAGACAGAAAATAGATACATTGATAAAATAGATACCATAATTTAGTTAATCTGGTATTCAGTGAAGGACAAATTTAATCATGAGTCAGTGCTGCTATTAAAGCCTACTTTGTGGCAATAAAGGCAGTAAAGTATCAGTGCTTGTTTATTCTTATTGCATCTGCAGATTGCTCTCCTGCAGCCCTACTTTGTATGACACATGCTCTGTTGGGCATAGAGAAACTCTAACATGAATGTGGAGGAATTTTGTAGCTTCTGTTGGATAAAATTGATTGGATTAATTCCTTGAGTGCTGGCCTTGTTCCAGGTCCAGGAAAGATGCCTGGAGAAAAGTCTTGCCAAGTTATCTGGAAACAGTTTGAACCAGAGAAAGTGGACAGCAGTGGATAGCAGTATTCCATTGTTTGAAGTGCTGCTACAAAGAAGTCAACTTATTTTCCAAAGCACCAGAAGGCAAGACAAGAAACAATGGATGGAAACTAATCAAGGAAAGAAGCAATCTAAAACCAAGGAGAATTCTAGAGAAACTTTCTAACAGTAAGAACAATTAACCACGGAACAGCTTATTTTCAGAAGATGTGGATACTTTATTACAGAAGGTTTTTATGAAAAAACTGGACAACCATTTGTCTCAAACTGTATAGGATCTCCTGCTTGAGCAGGAGGTAGGATTAGAAAACCGCCAAGGTCCCTTCCAGCTCTATTCTGATTGATAGACAGCTATACCAATTTGATGCAACAAAACAATATCTTTAAAGCTATCAAATAATATCTGTATATCTCCGGTCAAAATCTAACTAATCTGCGAATTTAGATTACCCTAAATTGGAATTCCCCAACATTGCTACCTTTGTGGACCAGTGGAGGAGGGAGAGGGGATGATCCTGCACAAGTGGCGGACAAGTGCACACATGCATGTGAAACTCTATTGCATGAACAATGGAGACACGCACCGACTGCTTGCGCAAAGGGAGTGTGTGCTTGCCTGCTGCTTGTGCAAGAGAGAATGCATGTGTGCACACACATTGCCACAGTCTGGTTGCAATTGGCTCTGGGCTCAGTAATTGGCTGTGGCCCAGGAGTTGGGAATTACTGACACATATTGTATATATGTGTATTTTCCAAACAAAAAATTCTCTGTGCCTATTAGATATGGAACTTCATTTTACTAACTGCATTAATCAGAAATTAGTTTATAAAATGATTGATTTATTGATTACGTGCCATCAAAATTGTGTCAACTCTTAACAAGCACACAGATCATCTCTGTGATGATCTGTCTCCAAACCTGTCCTTTAGGCCTTCTAATAATGCACCAATTCCCCCTGTAACTGAATCCAGACATTTTTTCCTCTTTCTGGAAAAGAGAAGAGAATGACCAAGAGAATGTTGGTCATTCTCTTTTCTTTTCCAAGGCCTTCACAGATTCTTTACTGCAGTGCTTTTCAACCTTTTCACAGATTGTACCACTTTTAGGATATGGCAATATTTGAGTACCATCAGTCACCTAGCAAAGTGTCAAAAACTTGACCAAAAAAAAGAAAGGAAAAAAGTGATAAAGTACAGGTAGTGCTCGACTTACAACAGTTCACTTAGTTAAAGTGAAACAGTTCAAGTACAACAGTTCAAGGTTACAACGGCACTGGAAAAAAATGACATGATCATTTTTCATACTTATAGCTGTTGCAGCATCTCCAGGGTCATGTAATTTATATTCAGATGCTTGGCAACTGATTCATATTTATGATGGTCGCAGAGTTTCTGGGTCATAAATTTGGTCATAGGCTGAGGACTATCTGTACATCCACTTATCACACTTTTAATGGGAATATTGTTCCTGTTTCTCTGACATTAATCCTTGCTCCTTCTCTCCCTCTGCTTGTCTCAAAAAAGCCTGTCCTCTTCTCTGTCTGTCTTTCTTTGTCTCTTCCTGCCATCTTTTTTTCCCTCTCCCTTTCCCATTAAAACCTCCTCCTTTTATACAATCTACACTCTCAACCTTCCTCCTTTTTTTTTGGTGTAACCCTAGCTGACGCCTCCCCCCAAGGCTGCATGCTGCTATCGGAAGCACCAATCAGTTGGAGCTGCATGCACAGATCTTAGATGCTCAGCAGAGACCTGGCAACACTGCAGCTCCAGCTGACTCTCCCACAGACCTGTGTGGCACTACTGCCACTTTAGCTCACCCTCCGCTATACTTTTTACAACATTTTTACAGTGCTTTTCAACCGTCCATATGCATACCACCTGCCAGATGCCAAAGTACCACCTGTGGTACGTGTACCATAGGTTGAAAAGCACTGCTCTGCTGAATGCGTATGGCTTATTTATTGACAGTTTCATATTTTTGTATAAGATTGATTACCAAATTGATACAAAAAGCAAAATCAATCTAAATATCTTAATTGTCAGTTCTAAAAGCTGTTTGTTACCTTGGTATTCTTTATATTTAACTGTAATTAAATATTTTTTTCATTATGTCCCTGGACTTTCATCACTATAGCTTTGTATTTTCGGCTATCAAAAAAGCATTATTAGCATAAGTCAGTGATGGCGAACCTTTTAGTTGTGGTGTGCTGAAAGTGCGCATGTGATAGCGCACACGCGTGCTGGCATCCACAATGCAATGTGCCTCCCGTGCACGCACACGCAGCACTCCCACCCCCTTACCCCTTGTGTTTGCACATGCCTCCCAGCTGATTTTTGGCCTAAAAAATTTGAGGTTGTTTTCACCCTTCCAAGGCTCGAGGGAAGCCTCTTCAGCTTCAGAGGCTGAAAAAAATGGGTCTTCTGGAAATACCAGAAGTGCCCATTTTCAGCCTCCGGAGGGTCTCTCTCGCGGGGGAGGCTGTTTTCATTCACCCAGAGGCTCAAGGGATGCCTCGGAAGGCTAAAAACGGGTCTGTTTCAGCACTTCCGGTATTTCTGGAAGGCCCATTTTTCAACCTCCTGAGGCTGAAGAGGCTTCCCTTGAACCTTGGGAGGGTGGAAAATAGCCTCCCCCAAGCACCAGAGGCCACCTGGACACTGAAAATGGGCACTTCTGGTATTTCTGGAGGGCCCATTTTTCAGCTTCCCAAGGCTGTAGAAGCTTCCCTTGAGCCTCAGGAGAGGGAAAATGGCCTCAAATGGGCCTAAAATCAGCTGGGAGGTGCATGCATGCACAGTGCAGGTAAGTTTGGCTGGGGCTCGCATGCCTGCACACATGGATCTGCGTGCCACCTGTGGCATGCGTGCCATCTGTGGCACGCGTGCCATAGATTCACCCTCACAGGCATAGATTATTCATGTTTTTTTTCCTTTAGTTTTAAAAGCATGCCCATTTCTTTTCAATCTAACCTCTCTCCCAAATATATCATATTGATTGAATAAATAAAGTGAGAGTATATGTCACCATGTCTTACTTTTTTGCTGACCAGGAGCCAGTCTTCTTTACTATGTTGTTCCCAATTATCTGTGTATAGCTTTTGCATGAGGACAATCAAATGTTCTGGGATTTCCCATTTCCTTACCAACTGCCCAATTTGACATTTTCAACAAGATCAAAGTAAACAATGTTCTAAGTTCCTTTTATGTTTTATCTCCATCATCATAGCTATTGCAATGTGTATATGTAAGTAGAAATAGTTTGGTACAGATATACCTTTCACACAGACCTGGTATCTGCGTATAAATTATCATTCATGACAGATTTATTTTTAGGTACAAGGGTACAGAACGGATAGGAGTGGTGTAGTGGTCTAGTGCTTAAGATGCTTGCCTCCCATTTGGAAGATGGGAGTTCAATTCTAAGTAGTGGCAGGCATTTCTTTCCTAGGGAAGAACACCCCCCACCCCCGGAAGGGCATCCAGCCTGTAAACATTCAGCTCAACTCTACCCTGAATTAAATGATTACATGATTATAAAAGGGGGTGGGTTTTTTAATATATAGAATGGATTAAATATTAAAGCCATGCATAAAACTCAAACTACTGCATTTTCTACTATGGAAAGAAACATTATAATGGCCTCTATAGTTTCACAGCAGGAATGTATTTCAGTATTTTATATAAGATTTCATGATGTGGTATTATTGATACTTGTATTAAGTCTAAAATTCTATTTGAGAAAAGAGCTACAGGTAGTTCTCGACTTATGATCAGCCGTTTACGAACCATTTGAAGTTTTGATAATGCCTCAAAAGCTACTTATTATCCAGTTCCCTCTCCCCATCAGGTTTCCATAAACCTTGGGCCTGCTTCCCACTTTACTGGATCCCATACCTTCTCTCCACCCTCTCAATCACCCAATGTATACTTACCTTTGGAAGATCTCTGGAGCTCCCCAACTTGCATTAATGTGGCACAACCCCAGAAATGGGCACCATTTTCACAGCATCTGCAATTAATTGTGCCAGTTGTCTCCATAATCATATCATGTAGCCTGCAGGGATCCCAAGGAGGGTGGAGGGGCCTGTTCTCTCTCCTCAACATAAGATCTATCCCTTATGCTCCTGAGGCTGCATGGTGCAGTCCCAGAAAATGGTGTTTCTGAGACTATGCCATATAGTCTAGGGAGAATGAAAGATGGAGTGGCCTGCTCCCCTTCTCCAACATGAACTCCAAAGCTTTGGAGATTTACAAAATCAGTAGTCCCTGCACACAGTCATTCAAGCCCTAATCATCTCATGGCTGGACTACTATAACACACTCTATATGGGGCTACCCTTGAACAGCATTTGGAAGCTACAGCTGGTACAGAGTGCAGTGGCACAGGCAATGCTGGGGTCCCAAGGGTGACCAATGTAACATCACTGCTCCGCGAGCTGCACTGGCTGATGGTTTACTTCTGGGTGCAATTTAAGGTGTTCGTAATAACCTTTAAAGCCTTTCATTTAAAGCCAGGTTACTTGAGGACCTGTCTCATTGGGATTGGCCCACACCACCCATGCCAGCAAGAGGCATATTGCAGACCCCATTGACTAGGGTATTCTGGCTGGTAGAGTCCAGGAGAAGAGCCTTTTTTGCTATTGCCCCTCTACTTTGGAACATCCTGCCTCCTGGAGTGAGGTCTGCTCCAACTCTCCTGATCTTGTGCATGAGCTCTGCCAGTTGAGTTGGAGCTCCAGAAAAGGAGCTTCATTGTTGAAGGTGGTTGACAGATTAATATTGGATCATACCTGCTAATCCTATTCACCCCTCCCCATTTTTACCTACTGTATTTTATATTTTTATATTTTGGAATATTTTATTCATGTAATTTTATCTTTTAATATTGTAAACTTCCCAGAGTTACCCTGTAGTAAGATAGGCAGACAAATAATTATTAAGTAAATAAATGGTAAGTGACAGATTGGAGGTTGGGAGTGTGGTCCACTTACTTTCTGCAGATATTCAAATCTTTGGAGAGCCACATATGATAAGTGCATGATGGGTGATGGGGGTGAAAAGGAAGGCATAGGATTTGATGGAATGGGAAAGCAGGCCCAAGGCAGGAAGATTCTGAGGGCAGGAAATACAACACAAGGTACCTCAGCAGGCAGAAGAGTCTTAGGAGACTTTGGGTAGGTAGGTTGGGCCTCTCCCATATCTGAGGCACCCCATGCTCCATTTAGCAATTTACATAGCATTCATTTAGCGTTCACATTATTGCATCAGGGAAAGCAGAGAGATTTGTTAAGTGAGGTGATTGTGACTTGCAGGCTCCATTACAGTCATAAGCCGAGGGCTACCTGTAATCTAGGTAGACTGTGATCATCCTAAAAACTCACCTTGCTCTATTATACTAAGTTCAGAATCATTCACAGGTTTTTTTTTAGCTTGAGAAGCTTAAGTCTTCTCTTAAATTTCAGTTGATAAAAGCTTACTCGTTTTATTATTATATCACCCATTCATTCATCCCATTCATTCATCCCATTCATTCATTAATTCATTAACTCATTAATTAATTAATTCATTCATTCATTCTACATGAGTGTCAATCTCAAGCATATCTCAAGCATATCACTCTAGTGGCTAATAGAAAAAAAAACCAAGATTAAAAAAACAACAAAGATAAGAAATTGATATAAAAAAAGAACCAGCATAGGCAAGATACAACCCAGGCAACAACAAAGTCAAGGAATCAACTTAACAAATGATGATTATTGCTATAATAATTTTAGCATTAGTCTAGTCTACAATAATTATAATTAGAGCAATAAGTTTAATCACAAAAAGATATTGCTGCAGTTAGCAATACCAATAGCCATTAGACTTTACATGCTTTATAGCCCTCTCTGAGCAGTTTTACAGTCAGCATATTGCCCCCAAAAATCTGGGTCCTCATTTTACCAATCTTGGAAGGATGGAAAGCTGAATCAACCTTTACAGATTAAATATGTATTTATTGACAGCTTTATATTTTATACCTTCCTTACTTTTACACTGCATTTATCTATATCTATATCTATATCTCTCTATGTATTTACTCACCAAAGCTATTTCTTTATGAAATTTGGCTTCAAGACTGGAGATATTTTTAAACGTGTTCACATAGAAGCCCACACGCCTAAGTAGAAATGACAGGTAAAGATGAAAAGTTTGTAAAGAAAGAAAGAAAAAAAATGAAAAACTGCTTATTGTATATGGACATAGCATATTTTATTCTTATTCAAAGAATCCTGAAAATATAAAACTTATATAATTTACATGTATAACTTGAATGGGCAAACAACCTCTTTTTTTGCAAATTTATAGCATGATATTAAACTTAAGCTTTCTTTAGATACATTTATCTCCATAGTGTAGATCCCTATTGCTTGGGCTTGCTCTACACACAATGGACAGTGAAGCATATTTGGAAGCACAAAGTTTGCCCTTTTGTTTTCATTATTTTTGTTTGTTCCCTCATTGAGTTAGATGTCTCCAACACTTAATGAAAATAAAATTAAGATTTAGTTTCTCAACAAGCTCCACTTTTGAATCATAGTTACTTAGTTCACTGTGCTAATAAGAAAATGACTGTTAGAACAGCCAATGAATTTTTCTAAGGGTTCAAAGATGCCATTAAAAGATCATAGAGAAACAACAATTTATTTTTTTAAAAGCTTTGGGGAAATAAAAAGATGAAGCACATAACTTTCCAAACAATATACCTTGACCATAAAGATGGTAGTTCTTCTTGCAAATCAGTGTTAAATTCTTCAAATACCTTCTGTGCTTTCTGAAACTCTTCTTCTGCCTACAACAAAGTGAAATACCTAGCAAACTTTTTTGGGGAAAAAAGAAACAAAACAGTTCTGAAAAATGCAACATATTATTCCTGGTGGGATTTATTTGGGTTTGTACTCCTTTTAAGGACAAAAGCAGTCAGTCTCAGAGCTTAATCCAGAGGTTGACTGTTTTTTCAGATGCCTGGTACCAAACAAAAAGAAAATAAGAAAATTAAAGAATCTTAAATTTGATGAGATTTTTTTGTTAAAATACCCTGAAGATCTAATGAGATTCCAGCTTCCTTGCTTTAATCTGAATGAATTTAAGACTTATTTATTATTGTATAAGGTTAATAATTTTTTAATTTTTCTTAAATTGCTGATAATTTTTTTTATACTAGGGTATATTGGTAATGTGACTCAGAATATGAATAGCTTATTACTGCCTTCATTGCACTTAGCTGAAGTTGTTGAGTTTAAAGCTAAACCTAAATTTTAGGGACACCATACAACCAAGCCTTTAAAAAGAAAAAGCTACTGTTTTAAATGTCCTGATTCAATATCATAACAAATGTGCAATTGTGCATGTGTTAGTCACTTATCCCTTCTTTCTCCATTCCTAATCCCTTAAAATAAGTGGATGGCAATAAAGCTTTAATGAGAAAATGCCATTTAATGCCTATGGGAACTTTTTAAAAGAAAGCTTACAGTCCTATCAAATGGGATTTTCTTTCTTTCTTTTTTGCAGCAGAAATCATAGCTGTAAAGGAAAACATTAAGCCTTCTCTTCCAGTATACTACCATTCTTATAAAAGTTATTCGTTCTCTTCACAACTGTAACTATTTAAAACAGGTCAGATCAAAATACTATGCATCCTAAGGCTGCACAGCAAATGATGCTTTTACTTCCATTATCAAAGTAAAGAGCATCCCCAGCCAATCATTTTGAAGTCTGATACAAAAATCTTGAAACACATATCTATCCCTCTCAAGCACTAAATACAAGTTTAATTAATTAATCACTTAGTAGGAAAGTAGAGCAAAAATAAAGTGACAATCTTCAAATTTCCTCTTTGCTGTAAGAGAGAACCAGTCTTCTGTAATCTTATTTGAAAACTAAAAAAAAAAAAATCCCGCAGATATCTATTTCACATCTATGCTAAATTTTTCTGACATTAATCTGTACAGGTTTTATGAAGTCATCAGTTACATTTGATTTAATATGTGATGATACTTTGATATAACTCCAAGAGCTTTATCAGCTTTTGCTAACATATTGTCATTTGTAAGCATTGGATTATAACTGTCATACTTTCCCAAAATTAAACAGAGTCCTATCAGCACTAGGACAGAAATCACAAAGGGATTTCAGCAGTATAGGCTGGGCTGAAAAATTGAAAAACAATGAGAAGTTTGTTAAGACTGAAGACAGTAACTTTTGTACTATGGCCAAGGAAATGGGTGTACCAGGAGTAAAGCTCCTTTAAGGAAAAGACAATCTAATACATCCAGGAAGGACCTCCCACAAAATTATATCTGAATCTGTTTAAACTCAATAACACAGGGATGTGTCATCCACATACTGAATTAATTTCCAGTGCAATATTGAAGAGAAAATGTTATTTTATTTGGAAATGCTAATCCCAGAGGCATGATCTACATGTCATTTATGGACATTTTAATTATTGGCTATCTGTGATATACTATCAATGTACTACAACTAGTGATATTTAACATGATTGGCTCATGCTAATATTGAAATATTGATAGCCCAAGCGAATGATAAAACACAATTTAACAGCACTAAACAGAGATTAATCTCATTCACTCCCTGCATGTCTTATAAAGATTATTAATATTGTTGTATCTCTTTCTCTCTCTCACCTTAGAAATTCTCCCTTCATCTTTTCTTTTTGAACTTTGCAAAGCTTCCAGATGATGTCTTGCACTATCGTAGTCTACTAGTTTCCTGCTCCGCTTTGCAATGCGATTCTGTAAATAATGATATCCAAATAAAAAAATCACAATAAAAGGTAACTTTCCTGTTTTAAAAATATTATGAGTTTCTTCCATCACTTAAAAACTAAGCCAGTGTGGTATATGTGAACTAGAACCAAGGTGACCCAGATTCAAGTCTCCTTTTTTTCATTCAGATGCCTGAATTATCACTTTCTCTCTCCCTAATATTCCTGGAAAAGTTGTTGTTATAAAACTAAAATGATAAGAGGCCCATAAATTTTGTTTTTATTTTTTAAAAAAATCCAGGCATGGAGATTATATTTTTTAAAGTGAAAACTCTTGACTAAAGAAAACACATCATTTCAAAAGCCACAGACTTTGAACTTTTAAAATTCCATATTTCTATTCAACATACAACTTAAAATTTGCTGCTCCAGACTTTATTGAAAACATATGAAATCTTCTCCAAAGATTTTTTTTAAAAAGCCTAAAAATTTAAAATAATGTTTTTATTGCATTTACTCATTTGTGATAAGGATTAAAATAGCACCACAATAAACTATGCAAAAGAAGGGAAACAATAGAATAGTTATAATATTAAAAATTATACATTTAATTCTGAAATTAAATTCAAACAGAGCAGCAGAATGTTTTAGTAATGAAAGGTTTAGGTGTAATAATATATGGGACTGACCCTGGCAGATAGGAGAAAGAGCCACAGACTAGGCAATGGTCAGAGAAGAGGCAGTGGAGCCCACAGAAGGAATAGAAGCACAGCAAACATTTCAAAACAGGTCCTATCTAGTTTGGACTGTAAAGATTAGGGAGGAAAAGTGTATTTTCAGACTTGCAACAATTTGCTCATGTAGCCTTGCAATACAGATAGAGCTAGAGTACGCTTCTTGTTTTGCTCTACCTCAAAGTGCTGATACAAGAAAACAACTTTGTACTTACGATAAAAAAAACAACCAAAGATGTTAAACACAAAACTCACTGACCATTCTTTGTGATTGAATCAGGTTGGTCAGTAAGGCAAATATAGTAATTGAAAGAAAAGGTAAAAACAATGTACTATTTCAAATGTCAGGAGAACATGCATGCCTGGACAAAGATATTTAGTTAATACAGTAAAGATTTAGCAATCCTAGCACAAAACATATAGCAAATCCTATTATCAGTTTTGTTCCATGAATGTTCATGACAATCTAGAATGCTTCTATGAAAAATATTATTGGATAAACCAGATATATAGCCAAACCACAAATAATTTATTTAGACTTAAAACAAGTCATGTTCCATTCACAGACTGTCCCCGCTCCAAAGAAATAAATGCTATATAAATCAGATTCTCATAGAGATGGTTTCAACTTCAAGTATTTCACGTATTTCATGAGAAGAGTGCTACACTCCTCTGCTTGCAACAGAATACCCTATATCACCAGGCTTGAAATTTTGGGCTTGGACAACCTTGAACTACACTGCCTACGGTTGGACTTAAGTGTAGTACACAAAATTATCTGCTACAATGTCCTACCAGTCAATGACTATTTCAGCTTCAACTGCAACAATAAAAGAGCACACAACAGACACAAACTCAATGTTAACCGCTCCAAACTTCATTACAGAAAATATGATTTCAGCAACAGAGTGGTCAATGCCTGGAATGCACTACCTGATTCTGTTGTTACATCCTCTAACCCCCACTCCTTTAACCTTAAACTATCCACTATTGACTTCACCCCATTCCTAAGAGGTCTGTAACGGGTGTGCATAAGTACACAATTGTGCCTATCGTCCCTGTCCTATTGTCCCCAATTATTTGTACCTATTTCCTGTATTCTTACTCATGTTTATACTTAAGCGATTGACAAATCAAATAAATAAATAAATAAACAAACTTTGATTTGGTTCAAGAGATAAATGTGATACACCTGGGACCGATACAAGGGGTCGGGAAATATTAGACTGCTATGTGAGTGGGGCAGAATCTCTGCTCTAATTTTCTACTCTCTGGAGTCCTGAAAAGTGAGTGGATAACAGGCGCATTGCCATTCTTATTTAAGTATTTAAAAATTTAGTCACATCTTGTGCAAAGGCAAATCAAAACAATAAAACCATTTGTCTTCATCCCACCTAGAATCCCCAGTCTTATCAACATTTAAGGTTGAGGGTAAATTTCTAAGGAAGTGCCTTTTAGCCAGAGGGGTCAATATCCTTGTCTGTTTTCTGGTAATTATATATAAGCAGCTGGAAGAAAGCTTTTATAGAGTATTATGATGCACGAACAGAGGCTGGCAAGTCTAAGGTTCAAATTATCTGCCTTCCAAATAGAATATTTTTGCTTCTTTTGCTAAGCATTTGACATAAGACACATAGTGGCATGATATACCTTAATATCAGGAAACTGTCCCAAATATGTATCCAAAGTTAGTAATGACCCATCTACGAGCTTTTGGTGAAAATCTTCCCAAAGCACATCACATTTCTGTAGAGAAAGATGAAATACAATGAAAATACAGATTAAAAACAAAACAAAAAAATATTAACACCTACAAACCCAAGCAGGCATTTTATCAACTCAAATGCCCAAAATTGAAAGAAAAACTCTGGTTTTTTGAATTTTAATAATATTTACCTTCACATTAATGTACCTAATATCATCAAAACAGTGGTGTTTTTCACTGTTTAGGACTGACCATATGTTTTTCAACATTAGTTCAAGAGATTGGAAAGTAGGAAAAGTATTTGGATATTGCTTATAAATTTCCACACTCATTTTTGCTATGTGCAAAATCAAAAATTCATTGTGGCCTAGAATATATTATGTATAATTGAAAAAACTCTGGTCTCATTTTCCTAAGGAGATCAAAGTTTATATCCAAGGTCATTTGTTCAAGCATCAAGAGGCACATTGGAAAATGTTAAAAGCTAGAAAGTTTCATTAATTATTGTTGCATCAATTCTTTTTTCAGTAAAAATAAGTCAAATTGTCACCTAAGAAGTTTAAAATTAGAAATACATTGAGAATGGATACTGAAAATCAATGACATTTTACATTTCTCTGAACATTAGAACATACTACCTCTAGAATAATTGTGCATTAAATTGTTCTCAACAACTAGTCAATGAAAAAGACATTTTGTCACTACCAATCCTTGGTAGCAAAATGATAAGTTGATGGCCTGTGAAAACCTGTTAGAAATTGGGCGTTGGTAAAAGTTACTGTGAACGCCCTTTCTGCAAGAGAGCCCAGGATGGGTTGACTCCTTCCTATGATATCATTTAGCTGAGTCTGTACTAAGATATAAAAACCAGCCCCCAGGAGAGACCCCAGCTTTGGCGAAGATACTTGACAGACTGAAAGGTGTATCTGAAAGCACAAATGAATACAGAAATATGTCTTACCCTCTCTGGACGAATCAAGGGAGAGGCTGGGCTCTCTTGCAGCATAGATAGAAAGGGCGTTCACGGTAACTTTTACCAATGCCCATTCTCCTCCATGCGGCATTGAGAGCCCAGGATGAGACATATCAAAGCTTGCATGTCCACGGGCGGGTCCTCGTCTGGCTCATCACACCGACTGTGGAACCACTTGTTGAAGCACCCCGTTTGCTGAAGGCTGCAGTCACCGAGGCAAAGGCATCCAGACGGTAGTGTCTGATGAAAGAAGACAGGGATGTCCACGTGGCCACACGACAAATCTCCTCCAAGGATGCTTGGGTCACTCAGGCAGCAGAAGTATGGTCACGGAAGGGCCGCAGCTTTGTAGGCCTGCTCAATGCAAGACCTGAGCCACCTGCTAATAGTAGAAGAGGCCTTGTGCCCCAAGTGAGAGGGGGAAAAGGAAACAAACATGGCTTCCAACTTCCTGAGGGAGGAAGTGCGCTTAATATATATTCTAAGAGCCCTTCTTACATCTAGCGGGTGCCACTGCTGCTCTAAGTCATGGTGCGGGAGAGGACAGAAGTCAGGCAACACAATGTCCTGGGACCTGTGAAACCAGGTGTTAACCTTCAGAATAAATGAGGGGTCCAGATGGGGAACAACCCTATCATTGTGAAAGGAACAAAGGTACTGTCTGATGGAAACAACAGCAAGCTCGGAAACCCTCCTGGTAGAAGTGATGGAAATGAGGAACACTAACTTCAGAGTCAGGAAACGGAGAGACACTGTTCTAAGGGATTCAAAGGGGGGGCTTTGTAAGGGCATTAAGGACCCTATGAGGGCCCCAGGAACAATACCCGTGAATCACCGGTGGGTGCAGGTTGGAAGCCCCTTTCAAAAACCTCCTGACTGAAGGGTGATGGGATAAGGAAGGAAGAGAATCCCATGAAAGGACCGAGGAGAGGGCCGCAACCTGCCTGTGTAAGGTACTGGGGGCCAAGCCTTTCTCCAGACCATACTGAAGGAAGCTAAGAACTTCTTCCAACTGGGCTGAAGCAGGAGAGAGACCCTCCCTAAGGCACCATCAGGAAAAAGCCTTCCAAGTGGCATCATAGATGCGCCTTGTAGAAGGTTTGCGAGACACCAGGATAGTGAGGATGACCCTTTCTGGAAGATCAGATCAGCCTCCTCTAACCGCTGCCACTCAAGTGCCACACGGTCAGCTTGAACCACTGGGGCTCTGGGTGGAGCAGGGCCCCCTGGTGAAGGGAGATTAGATGGGCTAGGATCCTCCAAGGAGAAGCCACAGATAGGTTGACCAGGTTCACAAACCAGGGCCTCCTTGGCCAATAGGGTGCCAGGAGGAGGAACTCCGCTCGTTCCTCCAACATCTTCCAAATTACTGCTGGAATGATGGGAAGCAGGGGGAAATGCGTAGATGAGCCCCTTGGGCCATCTGCACCAAAGAGCATTGGTCCCCTCCACTCCCTGGCAAGGGAACCTGGTGAAGAATCTGGTGACTTGGGCATTTTGAGGAGTGGACAAGAGATCTACTTCCAGTGTTCCGAATCTGAGGGAAAGGTCCCTGAATAGAGATGGAGGAATGGACCATTCTGCCTCGTCGACTAGGCTCCTGCTGAGCCAGTTGGCCTGGGAGTTATCGACCCCGGAGATGTGGTCCACCAATATCGACAACAGGTGTTTCTCTGCCCATAACCCCAACCGTAGATCCTCTCTCATGAGGGCTTTGGACTCATCCCCCCTTGCTGGTCGACATGAGCCTTTGCTGCCATGTTGCCCATAAGGACTAGAACATGAGAACTGGTCATTGATTGCCTGAAATGCTTGAGAGCCAGAAAAATGGCTCTGAGCTCTAGTCAATTTATGGGAAGGGTCTGCTCTGACCTGGACCAAACACCCTGAGCTATCTGGCCCTGCATATGGGAACCCCAACCCAGGAGGCTGGCATCGGTGGTTATCACTAGCCTGTCTGGGTCCCTGAACAGGAGTCCCTTCCAGATTGACGGGGAACACCACCAATTGAGAGATCTCTGGATTTGTAGTGGGAGGGGACCTTGATGGATGAGTGGCTGGTTCCTGCTCATTGGTAGGGAAGCAGGAACCACTAGAGAGGTCGGGAGTGGAGCCGAGCCCATGGGAGGATGCCAATACAGGAGACCATCTTCCCCAGAAGTTTGGACAGCAGCGACAGGGGGACAGTTTGATGTTGCTGGATCTGGCTGATGATCTCTGCAAGGCTCTTTCCATGAGCTGGGGACAGGAAAACCTGGCATGATGTGGTATCGATGACTGCTCCCAAGTGTTGCAATTTGGTTGTGGGAGAGAGCTTGCTCTTTTTGTTGTTGATGGAAAATCCATGGCTCTGGAGACATGACAGGGTAATTTGCAGATCCTGATGGGCCGCATGGATGGAAGAGGACAGCATCAAAATGTCATCCAAGTAGCATTGGATCCTCACTGGAACAGAACGCAGAGATGCCATCAATGTTGCCAGAACCTTTGTGAAGACACTTGGAGCTGATGAGAGGCCGAAGGGAAGTGCTCGATACTGGCAATGGGTATTCTGATAACAGAAATGGAGAAACTGGCAATCACAAGGCCAAATTGGGATGTGGAGGTAAGCCTCCGTGAGACCAGTGGAAGAGAGGAGGTCGCCCTCCCGAACGCTCTCTAAAATAGAATGCAGAGTCTGCATTTTAAATCGCCTGTATTTTACAAATTGTTTGAGAAATTTGAGATCAAGGATGGCTTGCCACCCCTCCTCCTGAGGCTTTGGGAATGATGAAAAGGCAAGAGTAAAGCCCACATTCCCATTGAGAGGGGGAACAGGTTGAATAGTCCTGATTTCAAGAAGGTGTTGAATGGCCTGATTCATCAGGGCTTGCCTTGAAATGTCCGAAGAGACAGGACAGATCAAAAAATTTTCTGGGGGTGGTGTTAGGAAGTCCAACTGTAACCCTGACCTAATAGTGCTGAGCACCCAGGCGTCCGTCGTTGACTCCTCCCATTTGGAGGCAAAGAAGACTAGGCGACCTCCGATGGGGGGGAGAACGAGGGATTACTTAGAGCGATGGAAGGAACGACCCCCTTCCCTCCGAAAAGGCCATTTACCAGTAGAAGATTGCTGCCTGCCAGATGCTTTTGCACATTGGTCTTGGCGTACAGCCTCTTGAGAGCAGGGGAAGCAGAATGAGGTCTCCACTTGAAAGGCAGGAGGGTGATAAGGAACTGGGCGATAATGGGCTTTCTTCCCAGAGGAAGAGAGAATTTTATGTTTATCTCTGGTTTCGATGAGATAAGGTTCCAGAGCATCGCCAAAAAGCTTATCGTCTGCAAATGGAACTGAAGCCAGCTTCCATTTTTGGCGTGACTCCATCTGCCAATTTCAGAACCATAAAAGTCTTCTTGCTGCTACTGAAGATGACATGGCCCTGGATGCAAATTTGGCAGAATTGAGAGTAGCATCCGCAGTGAATTCCGCAGCTGTGATAATCTTATTAAGGAGGTGAGACCAAAAGTGAGAAGCAGGCAATCTATTCTGGAGTTGGCATAGCCACCGTATGGATGCCCTTGTGAAAAAGAATGCTACCGTTGAAGCCCGAACAGCCCATGCAGCAGCCTGGTGATTGCGCTTGAGGGTCTGTTCAGAATGTTTATCATCCAGGATATCTTCTGGCTCCATTTCAGGATATATTCTGGCTCTATGGGAGTGCCAGAAGATGAGAACAAGGCCAGAACCAGAATGTCAACAGAAGGCACTGCCAGGGCATTGTCCAGAGCTGCGCTGACGTTGTAGAAATGCTTATCCAGAGAAGATGGGCGAGGACCTGTCGAAGGGGAAGCACACTGTTCTTTGACCATGTCCAGGAACAAAATGGGAGAAGGCAAAACCCTGCATGCACTACAGGCTTGGAGAAGAGCGAGTCTCCTTGGCTAGAGGGATTTCCTTGTGTCTCAGGAGCCACTTCCTCCGGCAACAACTTGGCAGTGACCAAAGCCTTGCTGAGTAATGGCCTGAAGAGAGTAGGTTTGAAGACCAATGCAGAGGATGTCTGCTCTGGGCGAGAATCCTCTTCCTCT